TTTGACATCACTTGGGTAAATTGCTCGTGAACTAGTTCCTGGTCGTGATATTTGTCTTTATTGTGTCATCCTTTTCTTCAGTTTTGTTCTCAGTGCATTTTGTACTTGAATGAAGGAAAGGTTTTAGATGAACGAGAGGAATCATACCATGTAATCCCATTGAAACTCTTCGAACACATCTTTAAACTGTGGCACATTTTCAAGCCGGGACTTTTGTTTCTGTTATTGTAATTGGACCCACAAGGGGTGTGTCACCAACTAATACCACATTATGTGGAGCATGACTGGTGTCTACCTTCTCAAGTGCAGCGGTTACCACTTTAGACGTAATATGCTTACGTTGCTGCGAAGAGTTGCTAGTATCCATCGCGTCTCGAAGAGTCGCTAGTATCCATCGCCTTCTCTTTCGATGCAGCCTCTATGAAGGTTCCATTAGCTGGTGAATGGCCAACCTCAGACTCCGAATCAGTGAATTCCCCTCATCAAGTTGGATCGTAGCTTGGGGCTTTACCGAACGCATCTCTTCGGTTTCCCGAAACACTTGATCAGCCAACTTATGAATGATTTCACCTGCGGTAGCAACAATGGTCTCCTCTACTAACGCAGCGACAGACAACCCGGGCTGCTGGGGACACCGAGTTAGCCGTTGGCCCCGCGCGTCCCAGGGATGTAGCACCACCTGGTGACTCCTCAGCCGACTCCTCCATGATTTCCAAAGCAGCCAAGGAGTTCCCGTGCTGAGGGAGAGAGTTAGGAACAGTTGGGAAGAGTAGAAACTCGGACGATTAAACGGCCCCTTTGTTACGTCGCGCGCAGCTGATTTCTACAAAACCCATCTAAACCCCTTACATTTCTGTAGATTCTTGGTTACTTGCTACGCAGCAGGTAGGGAAATCATAGAAGGATGTCGATCCCTCAATCTAAGGTCCCATGGACCGTGGGATGCCCATGCCTAAATGGATTTAACTTTTCTTTTCATAGCCCTTAACTTTTTTTTTTTGACACTTCCTTTAATAGCTGTATTTTTTTTTTTTTTGGCAAAACCCCAAATTGGGGTAGGGATGCCATCCCCTAATTTATTTATATCGAAAAGAAAGGAAAAACAAACACAGCAAAATAGAGGGGGGCCAAACCTGACCTCTGTTGAAGTAAAAAGAAAGACAGTTAGGAAAGAAAAAACACATAACAGATCAATCAAACGAAATCATCCACACGAGGGTGCCCCACATTTGTGGGATTGTGAGTGAGCATGGAACTTTGGTTTAACATCTTGACGTGTCTGCATTGTTTTACCTTGTCTTGAGAGCTGCTTCCTCGTTTTCTTTGACATCACTTGGGTAAATTGCTCGTGAACTAGTTCCTGGTCGTGATATTTGTCTTTATCACGTTGTGAATCATCCTTTCCCTCTTCAGTTTTGTTCTCAGTGCATTTTGTACTTGAATGAAGGAAAGGTTTTAGATGAACGAGAGGAATCATACCATGTAATTTCTCCCATTGAAACTCTTCGAACACATCTTTAAACTGTGGCACATTTTCAAGCCGGGACTTTTCCGTTTCTGTTATTGTAATTGGACCCACAAGGGGTGTGTCACCAACTAATACCACATTATGTGGAGCATGACTGGTGTCTACCTTCTCAAGTGCAGCGGTTACCACTTTAGACGTAATATGCTTACGTTGCTGCGAAGAGTTGCTAGTATCCATCGCCGTCTCATTCGAAGAGTCGCTAGTATCCATCGCCTTCTCTTTCGATGCAGCCTCTATGAAGGTTCCATTAGCTGGTGAATGGCCAACCTCAGACTCCGAATCAGTGAATTCCCCCTCATCAAGTTGGATCGTAGCTTGGGGCTTTACCGAACGCATCTCTTCGGTTTCCCGAAACACTTGATCAGCCAACTTATGAATGATTTCACCTGCGGTAGCAACAATGGTCTCCTCTACTAACGCAGCGACAGACAACCCGGGCTGCTGGGGACACCGAGTTAGCCGTTGGCCCTCCGCGCGTCCCAGGGATGTAGCACCACCTGGTGACTCCTCAGCCGACTCCTCCATGATTTCCAAAGCAGCCAAGGAGTTCCCGTGCACGACGTCCAGCTGCTGCAATGTAGCTCCGCTAGCTCCTGTAGCATGGACCTGCAGATCCTTCTCTTCACTGGCTAACACTGGCTGTGCGGCTTGCTCGCCAGTGGCCAGCAGCGGAGCAGATTGTGGCTCATCGACAACCAGAGCCCCCTCAGTATGTGCTGCGATGGCAATGCCATCAGCAACCAGCTCTCCCTCGACGGGAGCCTGTTGAGACGTGACGGCTGTTATCAGCGGAAACGACGCCGGCAGCGTCTGTCCCATGGAGGCATCAGCGCTCAGTGCAACCTGGTCCTCTCCCGTGAACGGGATTGCATTGTCATCCCCCAGTGGGCGGGCTTCCGGCCGGTCTTCAAGTTGGGGACCTTTTATACGCGGCGGCTCCTCTACTTGCCGCATCCTGTCTGCACCTGTCGCCCACTCCTGTTGCTGTTCCGTCACCTGGCCATCAAACAGGCAACAGTTCTTCAGTTTCGCAGTAGCCCCGCTGTCCGCTGTTGGTGGCTCCTGTGCTGGAACCTGATCAGATGGAACGATCTGCTGTTCTCCGGTAACCTTCGGCGCATACGCACGCACCAGCCTCGGAACTGCACAAGCTTTCTGGGCGTCCTTCGCCCGCTGCAAAGTTGGGTTCTTCTTAAAACAGCCCGTCTCTTCATGCCCAAAGTTGCTGCAGTATGGGCAATACGCAGGGACGTTCTCCCATTCCACTGCCTGCCAGAAGCCAAATTGATCATCTCCTATCCATACCCGCTTCGCCGGCGGCGAGGCCACATTTACTTCCACCATTACCCGAGCCACTGATGGACGCCGCAGATCAGTGGTTGCTGCATCTACCCGAAGAGGGCGGCCTAGAGTCGCAGCAAGGCGCAGAAGCTGGTTCTTCTGAAAGAAGGGGATTGGGAGTTCTGGGAAAGAAACCCACACCGGAGCTATCGCCAGTTCGTGATCTGCTTTAAACTCCAACGACCACTTCGAGAGTGACATGGGGGAGTTCTGGACGTACCATAGTCGGCGAGCAAACAGTCGTGTGTAGTCTTCTTCCAACGACGGCCGGATGAGGACGTGCTTGGAATCCAAAAGACCCACTGCACATTCTCCCTTTAAGCCGATGGAGGTGATAAATTTTCGGATGATTTCCATTGTCGGTCTGCTGAAGGGAAACCGACCCACCAATGCATTCTGGAAAGGCTGTGAAAGTGTTTCAATATCTTGACGGGAAAGGCGCAAGGCAGGTTCTCCCCTGAAAGAGGAAACCTCCCCCAGCGCCATGGATTCTGTCGGGGTTGATGAGACCACTGCTGCAAAGGACCGTGGCGCTCCGCCTGACGGAGGCTGCCCCGACGGTCCCTTGGCCGCCATGCTGCTGCGACGAGCGCCGCAGTGGAGCCCTAGCGGAGGTTCCTAGGGTTTGGTGTTTGCTTTTAATAGCTGTATACGTATTTTTACTTGTGCTGGTGAAATATTTGCAGTTTTTAATTAACATCGTTAACAGTAGAAGAAATAAGCACCTCAGTATGGTAAAAGGCACTACAAAATCATTACCATCATCCAACACTTCTGATTTAAAAGATCAAATAAGGATAGAGGATCCCCTCCTGAGTACAGGACAAATTGAGTTAAAATATGTTATTTGGATGCATTAGCTCAGGCCGAGCCAGTAGCCACCGAGGGAATCCTATTACATTATCAAAATGTTGGTGGCTTGTCACAACTCACAAACTTCAGTAATCAAAAGTTAACATCACAATCAATTAGCACTATAAATCATTATAGTCAAAACTATCCGATGAAACAAGGGTTTTGGAAACAAGCTCGAAGGGAGGAACCAGGGAGACCTGAGTGTTCCTAGCTACTCTTGGTAACCTGCTAGTGCAACCGAAATTTTGTAGCTCAGGGAACCATGATGGTAATTTTCACAGTTTAGTCATTGAACAGAGATCAGTTAATTCAGCTCTATGCAACCACCTAGTGGGTCACGATTGATGCCAGTTCTTTGCTGTTTTACACCACCCGCATATGCTCTAGAAGTGTTGCCATAACCGCATTCTGAGAATGACCTTTAGGCTTTGGCGTTTCGGACAGAGACGTTAAAAGTACAGAGCATTAGCCATGAGCTGAATAACTTATAAAATCTAGCTGTAGATAGCTAATCAGCTAATGGACACTCTAATTCTCCGCACATTTTGCTTTAAACTGATAGGGCAGAATTTGCACCAGTAACTATGCCAAAATCACCAATTTTTGTTTCCTTCTGTGGCAGCAAGGGGAGTATAATTATGTTGATTGAAAAGGATGTCTTGTGCATGTGCATTTGAGGCCTCATCTTAACTACTTTTTAAGATAAAATTAATTGAAATGTACTAGAATCCTCAGCGTGGTAATTGGCCAAGTTGCCATTTTGGCAGTTCTATGTTACAAGTATTGCAGAATAGCTTGAATAGTAGTTTACATAAATCGACACAATAGCGTACATTTGTGAGCAAATCATTGAGCATTTCAGTGATCCGTCCATACATCTGCCAACAGAGAAAATTTTATCAAAGAACATCATGAAGTAGAAAGATTTGTCAGGATTGGTAACATAAGATAGATACAAAAGGGATGAAGCAAACAAGATGGCATTTTCTCCTTTTTCGATCAAAACGATTAAAACCGGACTACTCAATGCTCAGTTGGAATGTGTAAACTTTGGAATAGCCTCCTCTATTAGGCCCCACCGGCTGTAGAAGTTCTTTTCTCCATCTCTACGTCCTTTTAAGTCCCCCCGTCAAAGGCATCCTGAATAGTTGGGAGGCCAAAAATAACTTAAACAAAAAGGCTCAAAACTAAGCCTTGTCTCAACAATTCTCTCCACATTCATCCAATATATTTCCTGGAGTCAAACAAACTTGTTTGGCGCTAAGGTTTACCGATGATGGGAGCTGCAAATAATGGCCATCGTCCTGATATAGCAATCGAAATAGGGAAACCGACCCACTTCACTGGAGGCGTAGAATTCTCAAGCCTTACATACACTATCATAAAGAAGAAGGAGGAGGATGGTAGATGGGTGACTAAGGAAGTCGACTTATTGCATAAGATCACTGGCTATGCACCAAAAGGATGCATCACAGCAGTTATGGGTCCAAGTGGAGCTGGGAAATCAACACTCTTGGATGGATTGGCCGGAAGAATTGCCAGTGGAAGTCTGAGGGGAAGAATTTCCTTGGATGGGATGGACACTAGTCCAAGTTTGATCAAAAGAACTTCAGCATATATAATGCAGGATGATAGGCTCTTCCCAATGCTGACAGTCTATGAGACACTAATGTTTGCTGCCGATTTCAGACTCGGACCAATCTCAAGGTCAGAGAAAAGACAGCGCGTTGAGCAGCTGATCGAGCAACTTGGTCTATCCGTAAGTTCACCAGCCTCTCTTCCTCGTCTCTTTTGCAAGTTGAAGTAGTAAACGTTTGGACAGTTTTTTGCCTTTCAGTACCAGAATAAAATCATAAGTACGCAATCTAATGCTTGCATTTTTTCCTTGTAGACCACTAGGAACACTTACATAGGGGATGAAGGAACTCGAGGAGTGTCCGGAGGTGAACGTCGTAGGGTCTCAATCGGCGTTGATATCATACATGGACCTACATTACTCTTCTTGGATGAGCCTACCTCAGGACTAGATTCCACCAGTGCTCACAGTGTTATTGAGAAAGTACACGATATCGCACGAACAGGGAGCACTGTAATACTGACAATTCACCAGCCTTCGTCCCGTATCCAGTTGCTTCTTGATCATCTCATAATCCTAGCTCGTGGACAGCTAATGTACCAAGGATCTCCCAAGGATGTGACTCTCCATCTGGGGCGCATGGGGCGCAAAGTCCCAAAAGGGGAAAACTCCATAGAGTACCTGATTGATGTGATCCAAGAGTATGATCAGTCTGAGCTAGGAGTTGAGGCTCTTGCAGCATTTACCCTTACTGGGATGAAACCTCCATCATTATCTGCAGATGGTTTCTCAACTTCTACTGTCCTTCCATCTCCATCTCCAGCTCCACGTTCTGGTCAGCGGGCAAATGAAATGAGAGACAAGAGTGGAAAAAACGTTCGATTACAATCTGGAGCAGATGATAAATTTGATAATAGTGTGAGGAGTCCATGGAACACATCAAGGTCTTGGACCCAAAGTGGAATTATGCAAGCACTGAAGTTTACACCAACTAGGCAACACCCGGACCATAGACTTCCAATGAGGTAAACGCCATAGTCTTCAATTCTCATTTTCTTGTTTCCAATTCCAATTTTCAAGCTATCTAAGTCTAAACTAAATTCATCCCAGTAAGAGCTCCACCATTGCTCTTACTGATTATGCTTATCTGTACAGTTTCTGACAAAATTTTAACGTCTAATTAGGGTCTCAAATCATTTGGTTTTTATAGTTTTCCCTTAATCTGTCTCTCTGCAATTGTGCAGTTCATCACCAGGCTACTACACCTACTACACCCACTCCAGTGATATGCTTCAAAGCACTCCAACACCTCATAGCAGCGATTACACTGTGAATGAGAATGACTATCTGACCCCAGATGTTGCTCCAGACAAGAGGGCATACCTCCATCTAGGACCAAAATTTTCGAATTCCTTCTTCCTTGAGACTTGGATACTCATGCGCCGAAACTTCATAAACATCAGGCGGACCCCTGAACTTTTCCTTTCCAGACTAATGGTCCTAATAGTAATGGGCATCATGATGGCAACAATGTTCTGGCACCCTCCAAAAAACATGCAAGGAATTACAGACCGTATTAGTTTCTTCATCTTTACAGTCTGTCTCTTTTTCTTTTCTTCCAATGATGCTGTCCCTGCTTTCATCCAGGAACGTTTCATCTTTGTTCGCGAAACTTCTCATAATGCCTACAGAGCCTCATCATATACCATTGCTGGTCTAATCACTTACCTTCCCTTTCTTGCAATCCAGGCTGCAGCTTATGCTGTCATTGTTTGGTTCGCATTGAAGCTTCGCGGGCCATTCCTTTATTTCTTGCTCGTTCTCTACATGTCCCTTTTGTCCACCAACTCATTTGTGGTGTTCGTTAGCTCAATCGTGCCGAATTACATACTTGGCTATGCAGCAGTAATTGCATTCACTGCTCTGTTCTTCTTGTTCTGCGGGTACTTCTTGAACAGCCATGATATCCCCAAATATTGGAAATGGATGAACTACATTTCAACGATGACATATCCATATGAAGGGCTTCTGATGAATCAATACCAGACTCCAATTAGTTTTGGAAAAAATCCAATAGGACAAGAAGTAACTGGATTTGGGATTTTGAATTCGCTACATATTCGTACAGAGGAATCAAAAAAGTGGGAAAAGGTCTACTTCATGTTGGGATGGGCTGTCCTCTACAGAATTCTTTTTTACGTGGTTCTGCGCTTCTTTTCAAAGAACCAGAGGACATAAACAGTGACATCAATGGAATTTGAAGGATTGATCATCTTTGACATGTTCCAACACAGGATGTTAGCTGTAAACAACCTCCATACGAGGATCTTTCCTAGTTAACTTCTTGTGTTTTGCCCTTGCTATTGCATCCCTGAATTTCATGGTCAAGTCAAAATCAGCAATTGTAGACATGAAACACATTTTATCTGTAGCATTGGAGTGAGATCGTGCTCATGTAATTAGCTGAAATTGGTTTATTTTTGGTAGCCGTCATGGAAAATAATTATCTTTTATGTATACTTAATGTGGAGGTTTTCAGCTTCTCGTTTTGTAGGATTGATTAACGATTTCACATAATAACATGCTAAGATTCTTGATCACCTCCGGTGGCAAAAGTGAAGTAATCACCCCACAATCATCTAGCTAAAAAAAGACTGGATAAATTACCTTTTATCCCCTATTGTTTGGTGTTTTATCACATAATCTCCTATGGTTTAAAAAACCTATATATAATCTTTAATAGTTTGGGTTAAAGTGTCACCGTTAGTTTTTCTTTTTGTTAAAACTAACGGTTAATAGTAAAAAAAATTAAAATTAAAATAATAAATTAACAAATTCATCCTTTCACTACTACTTTTTTTCTTCTTCTTTCTCTCACTCTCTCTTGGGGAGGGGGGAGGAGAAGAGAAAAGGTGATTTTGAAAACCTACACTTTGGCCTACAAAACCTTAATTTTTTTTACGTACAAAAGAGATGGAAGGAAAATTAAAAAATAAAAAAGAAACAAAAAGAATGGAAGGGAAATACAAAAATACATAAATTAAAAACAAAAATACCAAATCTTTTTTTAACTACGAATATCATTATAGGTTTTTTAACTAAATCTTTAAGGTTTAATCTTTCCTATACTGATATTGTCTACATAGTTAGTTTTGGATGAATAATAATTATACAAAATTTGAATTTAAAATTCAATTTTTGCACATACGTCATGGATTCAACAGTGATAGCGTATATAAGATTTATTCAATCTTTAATGGTATTTTCTACTTCATATTTATCTATTTTTTATTTTAATTTCTTCTTTTTACGTTTGGAGGGAAAAAATGAAGTAATGAAAGAGTAAAATTTGTCAATTTATTAGTTTGATTTTCACTCTTTACTATTGAGAGTTAGTTTTAACAAAAAAGTTAATGGTGACATATTAATCCAAACTATGAGGAGTTATACATAGATTTTTAAATATAAAGGATTATATGATAAAACACTAAATCACACGAGAATAAAAGATAATTTACCCAAAAAACTACTAATAACCTGTCTGTCTGTAGTCATTTTATCCACTCCTGAATTCTGAAAAAGAGTTGCAACAGATGTGCAATTGAAAAGGGAAAATAGATAAAATGAACCAGAAAACTTCTTCTGAGATTGAATGTTACTTGTAAATCCAATATGGCACTGCAAATTACGATAGCAGATAGTTCCACATCCACCCATCATCGGACCACCCCACTTTTACGGACCCTTCACCACAGTACACCAACTCTCTTCTCTCCTTCCCCACCCCCCCTCCCCCGCCCCCAAAAAACCCCACCCCACACACACACACACACAAAACAACCACAAAAATCCAACCCCAAACACAAACAAACACATTTTTGAGACCAAAGAAAAAAAAAAAAAAAAAAAAAAAAAAAGGTTCTTAGTTACTCACGTAACAACTGAATAACGTTAAATTGCAAAAGGCTGATAAAAGAACAAGTGTGGGAGTCCATGAATATGACATCATTCTGGAAATTGTTTTGTACTCCCATTTCATTTTTGCATCAATTTAAACATATTGACGATGATATTTTCCATGACAAAGAAAGTGAGCTGTGTCCGCACCTTTGCTTCTCTTGTGTCTATGACAAGATGGTGATCAATAATTCGTTGCTAGGGACGAAAACATGCTCAATTTTTCTTGTTCCTTGAGCAGTTCTCGGTTTTTAATGCTGATGAAAACTCAAATGCTGGATTTGGGATCCCCACACAATCCAATTCTTGCATATAACTTAGATCAGATCAGCAGGATAGCAGGATGCAATTAGGGGCCTTCTACAAATTTAAGAAGGCTTAAACTATTAAATATTGCTCATTGATGGGATTGTAATCAATTTAAAGGGCCAGAAAACTGAGACCTGTGTCCGAAGTCTAAAGGTATATTCTTTTTGCATTGAGAAAATGTCAATGCCCGGAATATGCCAAGCCTACGTTAAAAACAATGGTAGCATTATGCCGTTTTTGTTTTCCTCATTAATTTTCGTAAGCAGGATGATGTCCTAATACCTTGTTGAAAATTTAAAATAAAATAAAAGTGTAGAACAAAGATATGGAATAAATGGTCCGGAGCTTCTGCACGCTTGGAGCATTTATCAGTAACTTTACTTCAAATTCATCTTAATTACTTACGTGGAATCTACCTACAATGGTGTTTGGATTGCATTTTCCGTCATTTTTCATGGAAAAATTACTGTAGCGATTTGATATATGTGAGGGAAAAAGGTGATAGGGAAATGTGATCACGGAAAACGACAATATTTTCCGACGAAAACAAGCAATCCAAACACACCAGTTTCCTAATTAATCTAGAATTTTTTGGACCTTTCTCCCTCCAGAATAACCAAAACCTAGTATCCTGGAGGTTGAGCACACTATGGAACATTTTTCCTAATTGCCCAAAATTCTCCGGTAAGTTCACGTGTTAGCGTGCATTAAAGATCGACATCAGACATTGAGTTATAGGGTCAATTCACCGTAGAGGAATTGTTAATTATGACCATTAAAAGGGTCGAGAATTTGACTTTTTTTTTTTTTTTTCTGCTAGGAAGTTTGGTGCTAATCTGATTAGCCCTCCTAACATCATCGTGTCCAAGTACTGTACTACTTTGAGATATTAGCTAATATTGCGACACCTTATTGATGACGTTATTTAGTAATATAAGCTACCGTCTCTTAATAGTAAGTGTATCGTTTTAGGTTATATGTCTTGTTTAATTTACCAAAACAAATGGAAGTTAATTGTTCTAAGGGCAACCAGAGTCTCCGGAAGGAAAGCATGCATCACTCATGCATGTATTTCCATTTTCTGAATCAGTCTCTTGCTATTCAAAGTCGGGATTTCCATGCAGAAATTGGCCAAAAAGCCTATAAATGAAACCAAGAACCCATGCTTAAACCTCACCAGCAGCCCCCTCTTTCTCCTTTAGTACTGTCTTTTCTCTCTGGTTGAACGCTATGTCAATGTCGAAGGTTGTTCTCTTGGCTCTTCTATTTCCGTTGGCAATGGGTTGTTCTGATGCCCTACCAAGTGACTTTGCTTTTAATGCTACCGTGTCTTTGTCAAGACCGGGAGCGTTCAGGAAGGTGATGGACGCCATCGCCGCGGCCCCAAGCGGCAGCGAGTCCAGGTACTACATACATGTTGAGGCGGGTGTCTACCAGGAGATCGTATGCATCTCCAAGGAAAAGACCAATATTGCTTTGATAGGGGACGGTGCAGATGTCACCAAGATCACCATGAACAGAAAGGTCCCTGACTTCGAAACTTGGGAAACAGCCACCTTCTGTAAGTACAAGGGCTTAAGGCTTCCTAGCTTTTCTGATTCATTAGCTTTCCTGAATATTCATAGCAAAGATCTAAAAAAAAAATTTTTTTTGGGTCTTTGTGTTACAGGTATATGGAATCTAAAAATAGTATGGTTGTCATCGGATTTTGCATATGCTTTTAACGAATGTATCACGAGATAAGTCTGCCAAAACAATATATACCGGGATTTAGATATTGGAAATACTTTTTTCAGCAAGTGCTTGTCTCGATCGCTATGCTTTAAGCAAATTGAGGACAATCAGTATATGCAGTCTTAGATCTGTAAGAGTTTGTTGCACGTACGGGATATAGCATGATTTCTAGTCTTTTATTTGTCAGGGTCACTATGCAGAAAAAAAAAAAAAATCTCTCTTTGACGAATAAAATGGAAAGTCAAACAATCAAAAACAGAAAGTTTGCCTTTTTTTTTTTTTTTTGAATATGGAAAGATGGAGGCCATTGGGCATGTTACAATTAGGTTATGAGAAACTACTCATAATACCTAATCGCAATTACGATTCTTTTTTTTTTTTTTTTTTTTTTTTTACGATTCTTAGTTTGTCTAACACGCATGCCTTGACGAGGATAGCAATTCTTAGTTTGATGTTGTGAGTAAATTTCGTTGATCTTGTTTTCATGGTTACATGCATGCACGTAGACGTAGGGGTAGATAATTAAGTTGTAATTTCGCAATACGTAAAGTGGTAGATCAATTACATTTATTAAATGAATAATTTCTATCTAATTTTTATTTCCTTTCCACTCCAACATGACATAGGGGTTGGGCAGGTACAATTAAGGTTTTAGTGACATTGTACAATTGAGGTTTTAGTTCATACTAATATTAATTTGTTGTGTGCATGTTTGAATCCTATTCATATACGCCAATTCAATATATGAATACATGCAACCACATTTGCGTATATTGACTTTTTTTTTTTTTTTTAAATATATATATATATACAACAACTGCATGAATATATTGTACCAAAAGACAATTGTGCCCGTTTCTTATCGCATTATTCTGACTACTGCAACGTACGTAACACCTTTTCATTTGTTTCAGCTGTTTATGGAGACGGATTCATGGCCCAGTTTATTGCATTTGAGAACCCCGCAGGAGAGGGCAATCAAGCCGTAGCACTTCTGAGCGAAGCTGACCAGTCATCGTTCTACAGATGCCGGTTCCTCGGGTATCACGACACCTTGTACGCAAAAGCTGGGGCGCAATTCTACAGAGAATGCGATATCTATGGAACCGTGGACTTCATCTTTGGTCACGCAGCAGCAGTTTTCCAGCTATGCCACCTTTATGCCCTCCCAGCCGCCAGCGAAATGATCACCTTCACGGCACAAGGGAACAAGAATGACGGAAAGAAATCTGGATTTGTAATCCATAACTGCATGTTAACAACCGCCCCGCGGGCACGGGCACCAGGAAGCAAAAACGAGTTTAATGGTGCATATCTTGGGCGGCCATGGACCTCCTTGTCCACAGTGATTGTGATGCAGTCATTCTTGGACAGCTTCATTAACCCTGCTGGATGGCTTGAGTGGCCCGGCCATTCCACATCCACAGTTACTTATCGTGAGTATCTGAACTCGGGACCGGGCGCAGCCACAGGCGGTCGAGTTCCATGGCCAGGATACAAAGTTCTCAGCCAACCCAGCGATGCCATGCCGTTCACTGTTGGCCAGTTTATTGTAGGGGATTCTTGGCTTCCAGAGACAGGAATCCCTTATACGAGTGGCCTCTTTTAGTTTGAGCACTAGCTAGCGCAAGTCAGGAGTCAGGACTAGTAGTTTATTTAATTATTCTTATACTTCTGAAATATGAAGATTAATTTGCTATCAAGTTATTAATATATACTAGCACAAGTTTTATTAGAGAATTGACTTCTTCCTCTTGGAATTAAAGCATATATATGATCCAAGTTAAACAAATTCGATCTGTTCGCAGCCATATATATGTATATATATATATATGTACCCATAATGTTGATCATAGAGTCCCTTAAACAAAATGTCTTGGCCGGACGGGCAACTACAGATGCTGCCGTGCCTAAATCTGATCGATCATGATGTCGTCAAAGTGAAAGATTGAAGTGCCTTTAACTAGTTTTGGGGCTGGTAGATTAGATCTCGAATCCATGGCTGGCTTGGCAGTTTGAAAGGTGGCTCATTTCCCCTAATTAACCAAAGTGTGTAACGCATGCAGTAGTAAAAAGTTTAACTACATAGATAAACACATACATTCTTGAATGATGTAGCTGCTAGCTAGGTTTAACTATAGTACTGTATTGCTTATATATCTGCCTCTTCACGTATATATTACTATTCTCTAAGCAGTATTTTGTTTTGGCCGCTTGATTAGTATGGCACAAAAGTCGAATCGTTAAAATTAAGTACCGCAATTAATATTTAAGTACCGGCCATTACCAAATGTCACGAATCAATCAGAAATATTTAATATTAGTCTTTTGAATTTTCATTGACGCAAGCCAGCCCAACGACTTTTTGAGCCAGCTTAGTATAGTAAGACAAGGAATAACTTTTTGAGACAGCGACCAATACGATTTCCTATGAATCATTTGTCAACTTTCTGATTACCGTTCAGACTTCCTCGAGGAATCTCTAATTAAGTAGCGAAGGAAACACCGTTGATCTCAATTATTAAGTCGGGAGAACAAGTTTGAGAGTCTTACTCTTACGCGTAGGTTGCTTGCTTGACTGGGTAAAATACGACAATTACAGGAAGCTCCTCCAATCTTTTAATATATATATTTTTTCAGCCCGATGGAAACAGAATCACGGGCCGGGTGCTACAAATTTTTGAAATTTATTTTATGAGTTGAAAACTGGCAAAGCTGATTTCCGTGACATTATTATTGCTCTGCTTTCCAAGTAACAGACAAGGAAAGAGACGAATTCTCAATGAAAGATTATGAATGACGGCCAAGGGTGGTTCAAGAAATATAAAATTGCAAATGAACCCGGCAACATAACGAGCCAATCACAATCATTACCCATAATTCATCATTTTTTAGGTGATTATGTTTTGCGTCGGTAATATTCAGTTCAACCTTTCTCACTTGCCATCTTGTTCCAATGCTTTTGTAGTGTACTGCCCATATTTGAGATTTTGAAGTCAAAGAACATTAATACCATCCACTCTACTTTCCTCTTCATGAATTCTTCATTTCTGTGCATTGCAAGCCTTTTTGTCTGCAGGCAACAGGCAGTACCGTCCCAGGTCATTATTCTTGTCGTATGCTTTAACTGGGGCAAAATGAATACTAGTTCAGGAATGAAGATTTTGGTACTGGTGACCTTATAGCTGTTTTTATAACAGCTAATCACAGAGATTGGAGATTTTGATTGTGAATTTGATGATGACCCCATGGGGCAATTTCATTTGATGATAAGAGGATGATGGAAGGGTTGGCTAACTGGAATACAAGAAGTTGGGTCAACTGTTGCATTGTCTGCCTCTTCCTGTGTATTCAATCTGTCGTTGCACAACCAGGTACGAATGTTTTTAATGTATCTGTGCTGTTTGGTTCACTATTCTGCAATATAGGGTATCTGCAGCCTGAATTAATTCTTCAACTCAATCTTTCGTCATTCTCGATTTCATTCTAGACTGAGAAATGGGAGAGGAAAGGGACTTGCTTATCTTTGGTGTTAAGTGAACTATTGGAGAATCACAATAATGAAGGATCCAGTGTTCTTGATGAAAAGTCCGGAAAGAACTCGTGTCTTCAAGATCTTACGAGTCAGTCAGATCCTCTATATACGAGGCAATTTGGACTCGCAACAGATCTGGAATGGGACAAACCCAATGATGGGTTATGAATTTGATTCCCAAATCACAATATTGTCCTTTATGATCACATTAATCAAGGCCATAGAAAAACAAAATAAAATTCGGGCAATGGTCCTGAAGCTAGGAACAGTTTTGTATATGGTTTCTGAAAATCAGAAAGAATAGTTTGTCCTCAATATGCCTAGAAATCCACATCATTTATCCTTTTGAAGTTTAGTACAACAACCACTGGCGCATCTAGAGGGAAAAGCAAGGACCAATTTCTTTGCAAAATCATGTGTTGCGCAATGGGCTATTAATTTATTTATTCCCCAACTTGATGGACTAGTTAAAACAATCTGTCAGATCCAGTAGTGTCTTTCAAGACCAACGCGTTATTCTTACAAATTATGGGTACTAGACAATTTTTGCTTTAAATCTTTAAGCACTAAAACGTGTAGTTTTCAAAACTTACTGACATGAGAGCCGCAATTAGCTTGTGTGTTACATCAGTAATTACATAAAAGACAGGAAACCCCTGAAAGGATTCACGGTGCTAATTACGTTTTTGAATGTCTGTAAAACAGGATTTGTGAGCATACATTGCTGTTCTGATAAAGATTTTGTTGAGCCAAATACAAGTATATACTGGATTCCAGATGATTATTGGTATCCTGATAATCGAAGTTGCCAAGACACAACGCCAGTGCAAGACGATACAGGCTACAATAGAGCAAGAGTTTTCGACTCAGGTCTTGGTCATAAATGGTGTTATAACTTGACCACGGAGAGGGATCAAGCCTACTCGGTAAGGGGTACATTTCTTTCTGGTGACCATGAAAGGCGACCTCCAGGATCTGGCTTCAGTGTCTCCATTGATGCCACGGTGATAGGCGTAGTGAAGTCATCAGGTGAATCGAAGGTTGAAGGGATTTTCAAAGCAACCAAGGACTACGTTAACTTCTGCTTGCTGCAGGGCCAAAGAGTACCTTACATTTCAAAGCTTGAATTGAGACCTCTAACTTCTGATTGCCTGAACAGGGATCCCTATAGTGTGCTCAACCTTATTGATAGAGTAGATGCCGGAAATGAAGGAGGGGATATCAGGTATAACATCATAAAATGTTACAAGCCTGAAACTTTCACCTTGTGCCGGTGAAAACTCATTCATTAGGAGATGCACACATTGCACGTAATTAAATCCAAGAATTTCGAATTTGGTTCATGTTTCTGTTGCTAAACTTTAGTATTTATCGGCTCAAATTTTCAATTTTAGGTACCCTCTTGACCGGTATGATCGAATCTGGAGGGCAGACAAATACAGTGATCCAATGGCAAACCGCATATCATCATCTAGCGTCAACGTTACCAGGTCTTCTCCCAACCTAACATTTCCTCCAGTCGAAGTGTTACAAACAGCCCTTACCCATCCAGAACGACTGGAATTCTCTTACAACAACCTAGACTCGGACTACCACCGTTACGACCTATTACTCTACTTTCTAGAACTCAATGACCAAGTTAAAGTTGGGCAGAGGGTGTTTGATGTGTATGTCAACGATGCAAAGAAGACGCAAGTAGATGTAGCGCTTAGTGGCACCTTTAGATTTGTCATTTTAAATGTCACGGCCAATGGATATCTAAATCTTACCATGGTTAGGCTCTCCAACGGGTCACAATACGGACCTATAATCAGCGCCTATGAGATTTTGCAGGTTCACCCATTGATTCAAGAAACAGGCCGCGAAGAAGGTACAGAAATATGCCCGAATTTACGAGTTCAGATGTCTACTACGAAAACATGGCTAGATGCATTTCATTAAGAATTTATCGGCTTCAAAACCTTTACTTTCTCTCGCCCTTTCGTTTCAGTGGATAATATTATTGATGTGAAAAATGAGTTCTTGAGAGGCAATCCAGACAATGAGCTTCTTGCGAGTTGGTTAGGGGATCCTTGTCTTCCTATTTCATGGCCCGGATTGTCTTGTGAGCTTGCTAATGGTACCTCAGTCATCACCACGATGTAAGACTTTTCGCTTTCATCCACAATCTGGGTTAATGTGATACACAATACGGATTATATTTGCTTTGATTTTGTTGATAATCTACTCAGTCAATTTATTGCATTTCTCCCGCAGGAATCTTTCATCCAGTATGCTAGGCGGACCACTGCCTCCCAGCCTTACTAAGCTGTTCAATCTGAAGGAATTGTATGTTAATACTTTTTTTCCTTGCGAAGTCCTTTTATCCACCATCATGCCAAAAGCTTGAACATATTTCAATAACACTAAGTTTGTAAAAAAAATAATAATAATAAAGGTCTCTAGAAATCCAGCACGATGAAAGTTAAAGCACAGCGTAATCATATTTTTATTGTATATTAAAACCTTATCTCAGGTGCACGCTGTCATGGAATGATTTGTCATTCAAATGTTTCAGCCTCATTAGTAAAGCATTAAGCATACAGGGCCTAGCATATCTGTTTCCATCTCATGGTAATATACAACCTTCTCACCCAATCTCGGTTAAGCATCCCTCGCACAAGAAGCTTAATATACTTCTCCTCCTATTAGATATGGTAGGAATACGTTTAATAGAATTCAGGTTTTTTACTCAGAAAAGCCGCCATAGAGGCTAATTTCTCTTCCCTAAATAGTCTATGCATATCCACCAACATACTTCTAATTAACAGGACAATCAGCCATGATAAAATGCTTCAATTAGAGAGGCAATCAGCTCAAATGATTTGGAGGATATAGGTACATTGCTTCTCTTTTCATGAGCATCAGATAGGGGAGAGTACTTGGCACAAAACAAGTGACAGCCAAACTTTTAAAACCATCAGTAAGAAATCTGCATATTTTCACTTTTAAAAGCAGCTAGGTTTTTATGTGAACAATTTGCATTTCATTTTCTAGGGATATAAGTCACACCAGTCTCGTGGGAAACATTGCAGAGTTAGTAACCTCACTGCCAAATTTGACAACGCTGTAAGTTTAGTCGGGAATTGATTTCTTGTGTATTCTATTGTCAATATTAACTAGAAGAACCTTGTGCCTAACCTGAGGTTCTTCTCCTTCTGCCCGCAGATCCAATCCGTATCTCAGCAATAGGCTTCCAGCCAGCCTTAGAAGATCCAATCTCACCACAGAGTATGATATCTATGCTTGAGAAAGCCAGTGTTAGCTATATAAAATCTTTTGTAAGATTTAATTGATATGTATGCATAAGTGATGCTTCAGTGTGTGGTTGTGAAAGATTTCAGTCTCTGTGTGCAAGAGAGTCTGATTCATTTTCCTCCTCATTTCAGTAAGGACAAATGTATCCATCAGGCTTCCAGGCACTCAGCAAGGGGAGTCGTGATAGGCGTGGTTACGGGAGTATGTATCCTAGTTACCATTGCTATAGGGGCAATCTTGGTTTGCAGGAAAAAGGGAAAATTGATTTTCAAGAGAAAGTATGATGCAAACGGGTTATCAATGACAAAAAGTAAGCACATTAACCATCCATGTCGATAATCCAATGCAAAATAAGACTTTCCTCGCTGTAGTTAAAAGAATGCACACTGATTCTGACACATGTAACTTGAACTTTCAAGGCTATTAAATGTTAAGCTTTAAGGACTAAGAAATGTTAGTTCCCTATATTCCATGTTTCTAGTGTATTTTAGTATTTCATTTTGGCAAAAAAAAATTAAAAATCAAGTAAATGGTTACGCCCTTACAATCATACTATTAGCTGGTTATAGTTTCATGAAAAGCCACTCAACTTCAATAATTTTTAGCAATTGGATTTCCAACTGAACTTGTAAAATGCAGATGCTGTATATTCAGTACCCAGCACAGATATCATACTGAGGTCCATATCCATCCAGAGTTTCACTCTACAGTACATAGAAGCAGCAACCCAGAAATATAAAACATTAATAGGTGAAGGAGGATTTGGATCTGTTTACCGGGGTACTCTTCCTGATGGCCAAGAAGTGGCTGTGAAGGTCAGATCTGCCACATCAACACAGGGAACACGTGAATTTGACAATGAGGTAACAATCTACCGGTATTACACAATTCCATGAACAACCCTCCTTGGCAATCTTCCAGTTAGTACAAGGCATGAGACCATGTTCACCAGTTGCAATAAGAGTGAATCCCTGTGAAAATCTCAAACTCCAATCACTTGAGTAAATTTTCATATTGCTGTAGCTCTCAAGTTACATTGCATAATATTGCAACGCCATATTTAAATTCTTTTTCTTTTCCATCACCTCTTTTGAACTTGCCATGCATAACTGTTTTTTTTTCAGATCATGTCTACAAACTCGTACTTATATGATATACTGTTGGCTGCATTTACTGAAAATATCTTACTGTTCTTTTCCTAGATGTCATCTGACAAATCTGAATTACAAATATTTCTACAGCTGAACCTGCTCTCAGCTATCCGTCACGAGAACCTGATCCCGCTGTTTGGTTACTGCTGTGAAAATGACCAGCAAATTCTTGTTTACCCCTTCATGTCTAATGGCTCCCTACAAGATCGTTTATATGGTACTACCCAATAAAAAATAATAGTGGCAGTTTCAGCTCTTCTTTCTTGAGAACCAGAAAACTGTGGCTTACTTCCTACTAATGTTTAACAGGAGAAGCGGCAAAGAGGAAAATCCTAGACTGGCCGACCAGGCTTTCCATAGCTCTAGGAGCTGCACGAGGCAAGTAACATATAGCATTAGCATTTATTAAGAACTTTATCTTGCCAATCTTCTATCCTGATTCCTGAAGAATATAAAACAAGCAGCCGAAAATTAACGCATTCCAGGGATCATCCTTCGGATTGAACTTAGCCATACATGAACATGACAGCCAAATAAACTGGCTATTTTGTAGCAATTTGACTTTAGATGCCTACATGACACCTAAAAAACTGGCTATTTAATAGCAGTTTGACCTTAGATGTCTACAACACGACAATCTAAACCAGAAGTTTTGACATTGGACAGTTAGTAAACAACTTTTACCAGAAGATAGAATACAATAAAATGTATGCCTTTTTTTGTTTTTTTTGTTTGTTTTTTTTGGGGGGGGGGGGGGGGGGGGATGTGAGGATAGCTCATATGGTCCCTAACAGATACGGCCTATCCTGGAAGTCTTATGAGATAAAATATTATTGACTTGTTCTGTTGGATCAGTAACCGATATAGATTTGAATGTGCCTGCTGGCTAATTCGAATGTGAATGTGGGAAATGGAGAGTTACAGGAGCAGTCTTATATGCATTTCACAAAATTCATGAATCCATAACCTTCTCCTTGTGGTCTATTTTTGTGAACTGCACCAGTTGGCCAGGGATCACATAATGACCACTCTGAGTTCTTACAGTTCCATATTCAATTCAGATCTGTGTTAGATCAGATAAAGTTGGCCCCACTTCCCCTTCCCCTTCTTTTCCTGCTTAATATCTCTGTTATTTGGTCTGAAGAATTACTCTCATTCCAGGTTTAACATATCTTCATACATTTGCTGGACGCTCTGTAATACATAGGGATGTGAAATCAAGTAACATACTCCTGGATCAGAGCATGTGTGCAAAAGTTGCAGACTTTGGTTTTTCAAAATATGCACCTCAGGAAGGAGACAGCGGCACCTCTTTAGAAGTAAGGGGTACAGCAGGATATTTGGATCCAGAGTAAGTAGCAAAGCGACTCTTTATCCATTCTCTGTTTATTCCTAATTCCTTATGAATATTTGGGTGCGTCACTAACTAAAGAGCTATTTTGGGGTGTGTCACCGATTAAAGAGCTTCCAACTGGTGTGCATCAGGTACTACTCAACCCAACATCTGTCAGCTAAAAGTGATGTATTCAGCTTCGGAGTTGTATTATTGGAAATTGTAAGTGGTCGTGAACCTCTCAACATAAACAGACCGCGAAATGAATGGAGCTTGGTTGAATGGGTATGGTTCAATTTCAGTTGACTTGCTGATAAAACCACCATGTTTAACATTGGCACTACCCAGTGGAAATTTAAGATAATCATTAAGGTAACACAGCATGTGAGCTACATCTCTTTGAATAAGGATAAATTCAACCAACTTAGTACAAACATGTGGTCCAGTCAACTTACCACTAGAAACTAAGCAGTCCTGCTAACCCAGACATAGTAGCTACTGAAAAAAGCATATAGCTACAGAGCTTGCTCCGATTGCTAACTCAATAGTCAATGATAGAAGCAGTAGCTTCCCAACCTCTATAAGCTATCCGCTCTAATGAAGTCATACATATCTAGCATCACCATCAATTAGATTGTGTCCCTCAATTATGCAATATTCACAATTGCAGGCCAAACCCCGGATAAGGAACTCAAGAATTGAAGAAATCGTGGATCCAAGCATCAAGGGAGGGTATCATGCAGAGGCAATGTGGAGAGTGGTGGAGGTGGCTTTGGCATGCATTGAACCTTATTCAGCCTATCGACCATGCATGGCCGACATTGTCCGGGAGCTTGAGGATGCGTTGATCATAGAGAACAATGCATCTGAATACATGAAATCAATTGACAGCTTTGGAGGATCAACTCGATATTCCCTAGAGAGGCCAATTGTTATTCTACCCACTCCCAACCAAACAGAAGCATCCCCAATCCTATCACAACCACCTCCTCCACAACCGAGATGACCATAGGATAAATAGGATTCTTCACTCAGAGGCCATTATCAATGTAGCCATTTCTCTTCATAGTGACAATGGGAAACTGGAGGATGACACCTGAACTCTACTAATGAAGCGCGCTACTGAGTCTTAGCTCCAATCCCCTAAACTTGCAATCAATGTAACATTTGCTTACACTTCCTACCTTATGTATTGCGGGCACCAAGCTGCAAGACTGTTAAATGGCATGGAATAGGGACTAGGTCATTTGGCCTAAAATTAGTACAGTAACCATTCTTTGTTTACATAAACCACTAGTCCTCTGAATACTGAAATCCCAAAACAGCATGCTATACATCAATATGTACGAGGATGATCCATCAGAGACACCCTAAGGGCTGTATGGAAACATAGCTAAAGGCCATTCTGGAAACATATTCTTCGTATTCTTTTTTGCTATTTTCAGTGATCATGTTTTGAGAGTGACACACAACAATACACAAGATGAAAAATAAAATAAAAACTTATTGCTTTTAATGTTGGAAACATATTGGACAGAAAGAACTGTAGGTCACTAATTCTATTAACCGTGCAAACAAGAAAACAGATCCATAGAATGAGACACAACAAACAAACATTCATTCATATGTCAAAGATGCTAAAAAAATGCAGTTGTACATCCACTATTGACAGAATGGTCATATTCAAAATTCTAAGACTTTTCCTAAACTTTGAAAACAAAATATTACATGCTGTAGGACCTCTACATGCATCTTTGTCAACCAAAAACGTATTACGCAAAAATTTCACAAATAAAAAGCATAAATCGAGTGAATCAGCTTATTTTATTACAGGAGTAACTAAGCAACAATAAGATTCTTGTATTCTGGAAAAGAGGCCACAAAGGTTAAAAAGGATCAAAACTTGACCTTTAGCATATGACATATTAAAGATGAAACCTGCTTTGAGTTCCACAGTACAAAAACTAAAGCACAAGGCCAACGATGCAGGCTGACATCAAGGACAAATTACAACAAAGAAAACATAGCCGAGAATGCGGCAAGCACAGCAAGAGAGGCAGACAGCTGAGGACTCTCCCTAGCTGGTAAAGGTAAAGACGCAGTTGATTCAAGCTACTCCGGATGCTAGTAGACCACAAGACGACAAAAGCTTCATGAAAGGTTATATGGTAACTGACTGCATCTATATGTTACACCAGAAGATGATAGCACTAGTAAACAATTCCTCATCAATTATCCAGGCAACTGAGTAGATATCCTAATAGCAATTAGCACTTGGAAGCATCACAAAGCATGATTTATTTATTCAAATACCTTATCGAATAAGAGAAATTAAGCTGAATTTTCAGTGAATGTTAATTAAAGCAGTTGAATGCTCCAACAACTATGCAATTAATCATTCACAATTAGACTCTTTTTTTTTCAGCTCTAATGTCATCTGCATTGAACCGGAAAAAGTGAGCCATCCAATTTTCATAAATTGCTCAATTAGCAATGCCTATATAACCAAATAATACATGGATGGATATGCAAATATTGCTAGCAGTATACTCAAGGGAGTAAACAGAAAAGTAGCAAGGTAAGCACTTGAAGGAAAGAACCGCATCGAATGAGAAACTGCTTACATACATAGAGGCAAATGCGTAATTTTATGTAGTGTACTGATATAAAGATGGAAGAATGATCAATTAGGGGTGAAGAGAGCCGGATTGGCAGTAGCGCTACCAACTTGGACCTCGAGCATTTCGAGACGACGCTCCAGCGTATCAAGCTTCTGATTCAGAGTCGCCAATTTGCTTTTCGTTGTAGCCTCTGGAGAAGAGATGCAATGCAGAGAGGGAGAGTGTGTGTGTTAAAGCATACTTTAACTCAGATGACGCTGATCAAAAGAGAAAGGAGAAAGGAATAGAAATGAGGCAAACAGGTAAAGGTAGGGGTTGGGTTGTTTAGGTGAAATTGATTACCAAACTGAACGAGGAAGTCAAAAAGGCGACGGACGTTAAGGGAGATGTGGGAAATGAACTCCCGATTCTCCCAATCGGCTTGGACTGCTATCCCCACGTTCACCGCATTCGTGATTCCTCCAGCTCTTGCCATTGTTAATCTAGTTCTACTACTACTACCGCTTCTTCTTCTTCTTCTTCAGTCTTGTCTTTAGCTGCTTTCTTTCTTGAGCTTCTCTCTCTTCTCTCGACTGATGAAATGAGATGAGATCTGCGTTTCCTAATTAATCTCCTGCTGGAAAGGAGACGTCAGCGCAAGTGTTACTTACGGTGGCTGGGCTGACCTTGCCTGGTTTCGTCGCGGTTCCTTTCCGGAGTTTTCTCACCCTTTTTTTTTTAATTTTAATAATAAAAAATAACTACTACTCGTGGCAACACGCTCCATAAGTAACATACACAGACAAGAGAGAGAAGTTCCAAATTTATTCTTTCTTTTTTTTTTCAACAACGATATATTTATATAACCTATTTTATCCTAATCTAAGAGAAGGAAGAGCCTAAGGAGACTGTTACAGAGGCTAGTGGGTATACAGAGTTAACTAGACTAAAAAAATATTATGACATAACTCTTAAATTTTTCTCGTTGTTGGTGAGGTTTGAACCCTCACCAACAGCCCAAAAAAAGAGGGACTTGTGATTGTTCGAAATTTATTCAAAGTTACGACATTGTGACAGTAGGCTTTTCTTTCAAGGGCCGCTTCTTCTTTACATGATGTTGTTGCTGCGTGTCTTACTGACCTAGGCTATGATCCTCAATTGTTACCGACCACACAATCATCAGGTATATTAGACTTTATTAATACGCACCCTCTAACTTAAGCATTCTCGTTCCAGCCAAAAAACCGTAAACAAAAATTCACCAATAAACTTTGGTAACTATAGTGCTGCCCTCTTCCACGAAGATGGACAACGCAAATGCCGAACATTAAGGCAATGCCGAATTTATTGAATGTCCAATAAATCCAGTAACAATTACTCAATTATTTTGAGATGTACTTTTCTATCATAGCCCCGTCACCGTCAGTTGTTATCTATATATCAAGTCCAGATGAGAGAAAACTACCTTAAAAGTACAAATAACAATGCCCCTGGACTTGTAGATATCTTAAATCCCTCAAAAAAAAAAAAAAAAAGGATGGTCCATGGGGTTGTAGATATCTTAAGCCTAGCAATGTTGCGGCAATTGTATTCTTAACCAGACCGACACAAATAGCCTCCATCTACTATCAAATGACCATCGCTCTGATGAACCCAAAAATTTAGCTTATGCAGACGCTGTGACAGGTAGCAAGCCGTTGTGCCTAAGCAGCGCCTCCGGAGAAGGTTCCCGGCCCCGGAATTCCACAAATACCTGAATAACCATAGGAGCATAATAAGAAGACAGATACCGCATCTAGGATGCAAGCTTTCATATGAAAGGGTGAAATATGTAGGATGAGCATTATTTTTCAAATGTCTAACCTCCAGTGGAGCTTTTCCACCTCCAAGAGCAAGTATGGTTTCTCGGAACCTATTCCCTGTCTCTTTTACTGCCTGTTCAAATTAAAAACATGCAAGCAATGAAGCTCCTAAAAGACAACATGAAACGGACACACTACCACCTTAAATCTACACTTATATACGGATGCCTTCCACAAAGAACCCAAGCTCATAGGATATCAAGCCTTCTTAGACAGCAGCAAAAAATTACCTTTTCGTCATGGAGCCCAGCATCTTCAAATGCTGAGAAAGCATCTGCAGACAAGACCTCTGCCCACTGCAGAAATTCAAACATTTAAGCCTTGTCAAAGATTCTAAAGCTCAACAAATCATCAAGCCAACCACAAAGCAAGTCGGTCGATTTTACCCTATAGCCTGCATATTCTTTATGCTTTTAGCACCTCCTAGTAAACTAGTCATTCAAGCATAAGATACCTTATAACTGTAGTATCCAGCTGCATATCCACCAGCAAATATGTGACTAAAACTGCATAGAAATCGATCATCTGGAAGTGGAGGAAGCACTTGAGTTCTTTCTGAGACCCTACGATCAACATCATAGATTGATTCCGAACCACCAGGTACATACTTCGTGTGCAACTCAAGATCAACGGTCGCAAATCTTAACTGCAAAAAACAGAAGAAATATTACTTAAACCGAAACGGCACAAGTTTGAGTCCAAAGTGCACCAAAGGAAAATAAATTAATAAATGAATACACGAAGCTTCACCAGTCGGCATCAATGGCGTACAAGAACACAATCTTAATATCCTAGCAGCAAGAATGGAGTGAAGATGTAACACAACATTACATAGCTATATGCTGACCTGGCGAAGACTTAGAGAACCTGCACGAAAAGTTCTGGCAGCAAGAAGTTTCTTATAAATGTCTTCAGGGAGACTCTCTCCAGTTTCATAATGCTTGGCAATGCCCATCAATGTATCCCTGCAATAACCATCAATAACACATCAGCGGCAGTGGGAGAGAAAAGGTAATAAAAATTGGCTAATTGCTCCAAAATCAAGAAAATGAGTCTGAAGAAGAAATATTAAAACATAATTGTCTCCCTAAAACCAGCAGACTCAGATGAGTGATTTGCCGGTCATCACAGTAGAATTCTAACTTTATTCCTGAATATATTTTCTTTGGTATTAGCATTTTCTTCGCAGAAATTTAGTTCGTTAAAGGACTCAAAAGGAAGCTCGAAATAATTCTTAAGACTAGTACATATTTATTATCCGAGAGAGAACTAAATACACATATATATTGAAGGAATGTAAGAGCATACACAGCCAAGGTTGATTATTTGCAGAAGTTATAACCCCTGAAATATACCAACACAAAATTATACCTATGGTAGCACCAATTTTCCATAAATTGGGACGGCAGTTCAACAGCATCCCACTCAATTTTCCGGATACCAGCAACCAAACCCTCATCTTGTTTTGTTAACATATGCTGAAGGGCATGACCAAACTCATGAAAAACAGTCTCAACCTACAAGGATAAGCAGAATAATGCATGAGTTCAAAATTTGTTATCAAGATCACCAGATAAGATACTTTTATAATTCCAAACACAATCTTTCCGAAACAATACATAAATGAAAATTTACATAAGATTATTTAGCTCCCATAAAAGGAAGCTCTGAACATGTTCTTACAAGGGGTTAAGGGACTTAAATTGAACAAGCACCACAACAAACCATAGGCGTATCATAATTGCTCAAGCAATATGACATTTAAGATAGTGACATGGTCAAAATTGCAGAAGCAATATGGCATTAACTACAGGGTCAATCACTATGCAGAACAGCCACAATCATTCAATAACTTCTGAAAACAAAGTTGACAGCTTAAATTGCACAAAAGGAAAAGGGGAAAAAAATCATTTCGTTAGAAATATATCGTTTTACAATCAAAATAAGCATGTCTGTGCAGACCTCTACTCTGATTTATCCAATCAATGAATTACTTACCTGGTTATGTACTCTTTCTATTCACTGAGAGCTTATCATTTTGGTCTAACATGGCACAACTTAACTATCAACCTATTAAATAATCCATATTTTCCAAAAAATCTCAATAAGATATAATTGGACGGACTGTATCTGTTTGCCTGACATTAGCAGTCCAAAAGTATGGCATCCAAAAACATAAAAGAGAAACAAAAAATAAGTAAGTAAATGCATTCCTACCATTAATCCCAATAGTCTAGGCATCTTAAGAAAGCACACTACATAAAACTTTTGACCTTACCTCACGGAAGGTCATTAGGCTAGGCTTGTTCCCTACAGGAGGCATTTGATTGCAAACCATGTGGGCGACAGGCAATCTGGGAGAGACACCATCTCGTGACAATACACGACTTCGCGAAACAACTTCATCCATCCAAGCACCTCCACGCTTTTCAGATGGTCGGGAATATGGATCAAAATAAAAATAAGCAATGGCACTGCCTGAAGAATCATTGACACAGTAAAATCGGACATCGTTGTTCCAAACCTAAAAAATCATAAAACTGTTAAAACAAAATCTCTTCCTGTAAGAATCAATGGTGACAAAAGACAAAATCTGTTGTATATATTTACAGGAGCTAAACCATCAGCAGCCTCAATATTGATTCCAAAAAGCATCTTGGCAAGGTTGAAAAGGCCATCCATAACTTTAGGCAAAGAAAAGTAAGGACGAAGTTCTTCCTGTAATGACTCAACAAGATTAGAAATCCAGCTTGCCAAATAGATGTGTAAAACAAGAACACACGACTTCTAGTACAGTACCAAATACCATATTATAATCATATCACACTTGAATAAATTTTATAAAATGCACTCAAAAATAGCCTCAAAGAGCACATAACAGGCCGAAGCTAAAACCTAGCCTTTTTTTTTTTTTTGAAACCAAGGAACTGAACCATGAGTTAAACCCTCTAAATAAGTGATGACCAAGATTGAAACACAAAATTTAAGCATTGAAAATCCACAAGAGAGAGAACCTCATTTATTTCATATTTCGATTCCCGAAGCCTCTCACTCCAGAAGCTGAGATCCCAATGGTTCAGATTGTCAGCTTCTAGAGCACCTTGACTTTTAGAGAATTGCTTGAGGTCTTCCATATCTACGGAAAACAAAGGACTATAATCAGTGACTGAATTTAACTCGCGTAGGTATTAGAGTGAAAGCGAAACAGACCACATAAAAAGAAGAAAAGAAAAAGTGAGGCAGGAAAGAAATAGGCCATTAAATTAGATAAAAGCAAAGGAGCATGCTAAAATTTGAAAAACCAGGAATATCAGAACTTGCGGAGAATACTTGATTACAAATCTAATTTAAATAATGTTGTCAACAAGCTGAAAGCTATAGAAGTAGAATTCTTTACTTACCTGCTACTTCTGTATTCCACTTTGCTTTTAAAAAAGCAAAGCTTGAGGGAAGATATGATGGAACTCTACAGTTTTAACCAATATAAATATGTTGAACTAAAAAATAAATGCTAGCAAATCCTGTCAAGTGAAAAAAGTTAAAATATTACATAAGTGACATACTAAAGCCATCAGACTTTTAACACTTTCTTCATGTCAAATTTGAATCAACAGCATACACTTAGTAAGTTTTAACCGGCCAAAAGCAATGAACTAGAAACCATACTAAGTATATTACCTTTAACTGCAGGATCCCAAGATGCAGCACGAATCTTTTCAAGGAGCTCTAGTGCCTTATCAACAGTCGCCATTTTGGTAGCCATGCTTACCTAAAAAGAACAACAACTACATTAGTACGCCTAAAGTTGACTGACATCAATTTGGAAGTAAACACTTAATGGTTGTACC